ATTACTTTTCCCGAAGCTAGAAAGATCGTTGAAATACCTGTTTTGGGTCCATCTTATGCCAGTCGTGCATGTCCATGGGCACTAGTGATGCTGCTACATAGACATTTGATGCAGGCATACAGACTGAAATGGCGTGCGGCAATCTTTATGGTCTTCGTCTGCTGCAAAGCTTTCTTCACTAGTCATCGCGACCACCACTATCACCAAGAAAATAGAATCAGAACCCCCAATTCCCATCAAAACCAGCTCCCAGTATACAAAAATGAAACATCAGCCCAAGCAGAGAATTCTAATTTCATAAGATAGAAGGAATAAAATGTCTGACGACCAAATTTACGCCTTCAACAAATTCGTCTCTCTGGAGAATATCGAGTACCAGTTAGCTACTTCCAAATCCTCCGAGATCTCTATTAAAGCTGTCAAACCACCATAGGTTAAACATGTAGTCAAGCTATGAATCAATGGTCCCTTACTTATTTCTGATAGTAATAATGGATACAATAATCCAATTTGTAAAGGTCTTCGATCCAATATTGATGAAATTTTACGACTGTCTCAAGAACATAACCCACGTATAATCTGTCTCAAAGAAACGATCACAAGAACCGAAACAAATATCAATTTCAGACATATTACATGTTTAATTGCTTCGGTCCTGTTAGCAACAAAGCAACTGGTGGAGTTGCAATCCTCACAGATATATACCATTAAATACAGACCTCCAGGAAACTTCTGTAAGTGTTATGCTCTCTAGAACGCTTACAGTATGCTCTGTGTTCCTAACCAATTAGATAATTAGATGAACTGCCCCCCCCCTTTCCATGGAGATAACAACCTTTGGGGTTCACTCGACACTAATGACAGAGGAACAAAAAATAAAAACAAAAAAATTGGAAAATAACCGCCTTCTTTGCAATAATAAATATCCAACATATTGCCATCTCCCGGAACATTATTGATAACCCTCTTTCGGAACATTCTCACACCTTGATTTAACTTAATGTCACCCATCTTTTTTGCTCGATTTCGAATGGAAGTTGCATGACGTAAGTGGTCCTTTCCAATATTTCTGAAGAATTATGAATCCTCAATCATTTGTTTAGACTTGAAACCTAAGTGAGTGGGACTTTTCTAGAGAAGGAACACTTGGTTGTTGCTTTCTTTTATTTGGAAAAGGCGTACAGCACAACACGGAAATATCGCATAATGAAAGATATGCACGATATGTGTAAGAGGTAATCTAAAGATTTTATCTGAAATGTTCTGTTATAAAGATGTTCAAAAGCGGGAAATGGGTGTACCACAAGGCAGCACAGGTTAAACTTTTTGGGGGTTAAAACTAACAGTCTTGTCAAAACAATATCCTCTTCGATTGTGGACGCTTCAGTATATCAAAGATCTAATTAAATGCGATCTAAGCATATGAATAACTACAACAATGCTTCCATCGATTCAGAATTTTGGCATATGAAAATGTATTTGAATTGTCACAATCATATGGAACGATAGAACTTTCATCAAGGCTTATGAATTCACCAGAAGTTGACTTCACTTCATGATATGGTCAAATCAGATACTGACAGTTCCACCTTTCCTGCATCTTTCTCAAAATTGCATTTGAGACATAAACTATTTCTTCATTCATAAACTGATACTATACAGGACCATGGTTACACAAGATGGAGCCTTCGGATGACGGCTACGGAACAAGGCCTCAATATCCTAGGCGGAAGCGCGAGCTATCTACCTCGCCCTTGAATATGTTCAAACAAATAGAGTAATGAGCGCTGTTATCCATTCAGACACCCTTTCTGTACTACAAAGTCTTAACAATAGAGATATCGAAAATATTTCCATTCATAATACATTAACACTATATCAAGAACTTGCTTTTAACTGTCGTTTTGCTGGGTTCCTGTGCACATAGAAGCAAAAGAAGCTTTCTCTGTACCACATATTGTTTAATAAATTCATTTTACCGATTTTAAACCATTTATTAAACATTTTTTTACAGCTGAATGGCAGGAGGAATATAATCAATATACCAATAATAAATTGCACTTCGTAAAACCTATCATCGGTGAATGGTGTCATGTTATAGAGACAACCACCGAGACAAAGTTGTCCTTGTCCGTCTTCGGATGGACCATACATACCTTATACATTCATATTTGTTGATAGGCGAAGATAATTCTCGGTGTGTTAAGAACGTGATGAGTCATTCACCATTTAACACTTTCTAATGGACTGCATTGACCTTCTTTCTGCTCAGGACATTTTTATCATAAATATTGAAATTATCGAGCTTTGTAAATAAATAAATAAATATGTTATCTGAAAGATATCTATATAATAGACTATGACGTACCATTCTATTTTTTTTTTTGATGACATACCCATTTAATATTTTAAACATTTGTCTTTTACCTTTTAGTTTGTTTGATCGGTGTGTGTTTAACCGATTGCTGTCCCTAATGGCGGGCCGATATAAATGTAATAATGATAATAATATACTTTACTCCGTAGTGTGGGATGTGCGTTTGTATATTTATCGCTATCTATATGAATGGATTGTTGATCATGATGTGGATGCTACTTTCAATCAGTTCAACAGAAAGCTTATATAAACATATATTTTAATATCATATAAGAAGTCGTCCCGTGATGTCACAGCTGTCGACCGGTCGTTCAGCGTTACATGATTGTGGAGAAGTGGTGAGAAAAGGGAAATCTACCGAGTGTTAGTGGGAAAACGGAAGGACAGACGTGACAATATAATGTAGGCTGATCTGGTGAGTATGGATTGTAAATTGTTATTATTTTCATCATTACAAGCTTAACGGCCCGTCACCACATAACAATGAGGTCATCAACAGGTGAAACACACTGCGATCCAAAAGAACAAAACATCAAACAAACCAAAAGGTAAAATGTTAAAATATCTAATGGCTTTATTATCACAAAAGATGAAAAAGGTTAGTCATGTTCTATAACAAAGACCAACATCTTTCAGAAAATCTAGAATTCGTTGTAGAGGGGATTTATTTATGGTCATTGGGTAGGCAAGACACATGCATGCTCTGTGATATACTTGCTGGAATTTATACTGGTTTAAGGTGGATTTCAGTAGTAACGTTTGTACCAGCCATGTATAGATTTAATTTCATGATATTTCTAATGGATTTGTTGACGTTTGATGGTGCACCACTTATGTGACATTGGGTAGTATTAAGATATTGTCTATGAATGTAAGGGGACTGAACTCGGAGTGGAATGATAGAAGAAATGTATTTCATTTGACAAAAAAAAAATACATAAGTCTTCAACAATAGTTCATTGATATTGTGTGGCGATTGGCACACAGTACAGAACAGAGAAATCGACACAATAATTACACAAAATCTCAAGAAACAATCAAAAACATATGACTTTATCGACCCCAGGAGGAATTTTTACTCAGATTTGAGAAATTTTATTTGGCGGGTAAAAATATTCGACAAAGCAGACTAGGCTAGATTATTTTGTTTTGTTTCAGAAGAAATTTATTCAAAAACAAAAGATTCCAAAATCATACCTGGTTACAGAACAGATCACACTTGTATAGTATTATATGTAAATTACAGTACAGTAGGACGTGATAAAAGATATTGGAAACAATGCTTCTCTCCTTGAAGATAAAAACTTAAATATATCAAGTCAAGGACTGCATTGCAGAGACGATAGATGAATATATTTTTGAAGGACATAAAAATAGCATGGGGAATGTTGTGTTGAGAATAAATGATCAACCATTTAGTTTAATTTTAAAGGTTATGATAAGTAAATTCTCAATTGCTTATTCCATATCAAAAGGACAAAATGGGGGAAAACTTGAAAAAGAAAACGGATCAATCAAAGTCCGAGTGATCGCCTATGGGGACAATTCAATAGTAAAAATCAGGAACTGGAATCTATTAGGAAAAGTAAAGTAGATCACTTAATTATGCAGATGACACAGGTCAATTGTATGCTTTTCAAAATCAAAGAATTATTTCTTGTATTCCAAAAGAATATAAGGACAGGAGGTATTTAAAAAAATTGGTGACCCATTTCTTTATTAAATGTAAACTTCATGATTGACAATGCAGCTATAACCAGCAAAATCAAAAAAATGTTCTTCCAAAAATTACAAGTGAAACACAAACAGGTTTATTAAGGGTATGTTCATAGGGGATAAATGAGGTTTCTCTGACATCATGGCATTATCAGAAGAAAAAAAAACAGTCAGGACTCTGGTTTATTTTGCATTTTGAAAAAAAAAAAAACATTTTACCCAATTGAGAACAGTTTTAATAAAAAGGCTTTGAAATCTTTTAACGTTGGAGTCTGTACGCAAATGGTTAAAGTTTTAAATAAAAATTCTAAAAGCAAGAAAAATATCTCAAAGAAAAATGAATGAACATTTGTTTAATATGCTGTAATCCTACAAATGATATAGTAGTAAACATAAATTCACTTTCTATATTTTGTAATAGGGAAACAGAAACATCGGAACATATCTTTGTTCACTGTTCTTATGTACAGAATTTATTTGAGATCAGTTCATTATATACCGAACATGATGATAGAAATCCATCCTACAACTTTAGACAGATATTCTTATCGATGATCTAAAGATTAGACAACTCCTAAACCATTTTCTAATTTTAAGAAAACATCATATATATCATTGTCGCATGCACGGGATAAGTACATTAAGATGAGATATGGATCATTACTATTTGTCCAGATTTCACTTGTCGTATTGTTTATGTCATGTATGTGTCCTGTCTATATTTGTAACATGTTCGTCCTGCTCTTGTCCAGGAAGTGAGTTGGAGTGAGGAATGCATGCTAGTGCTGACGTGTGCATGTGATATATAAGGGGGAGTGTGTTACATGTTGATTCCAAGAGGTAACTCTGGTAGACGGCCGTAGTATGACCGATGGGCGCATGCGTAGCGCCAGTTGGAATAAATGTAACAACGCTGACTGAATGTCGCTCGCCTTGTTCTTTACAGGTAAGCAAGTTTAACATATTAAAAATGTTGTCATGTTTTAGGATATATGTAATTATATCTATAAATATACTAGTTATGGGTCGGCAGGGTGTCGATAGTTAATGTAACGAGGAAAGTAGCAATTAGGCTCATTTTCGTTTCACCATGTGTTAGTGGTAGGACCACGAGGTCACTATTTTGCATGATGTGTATTGCGGTACGTCAGTATTGGAATAGTATGAGCAATAACAGTCGTTATATCTGATAAATATGGAAGTCCTAGTTTGTATTTAGTATGTAGAGTTCATGGATACAGTATTTTGTTCGTATTCAGAAGTAATAACAACGTAGGGTTTGTGTATTGGGTCGAGGACATTGATTTTGTATGGAAGCCCTGTAGTACCACATAGACAGTATTTGGTATTGACTCTTGTATGGAAACTCGGTAGTACCGGATGGAGAATAATGTTGTTTTAGTTCAATACAATATAGATTTACTAGTCAGTTAAATTCGTATTAATAATAATGTTAACTAATTTGATAATTGTAATTAATTAAAGGAATTATAATTTTGATAAACTATAAGTAATAAATGACATAGTGTTTATTGGTAATCAATTATAGTGTACAGTGTTGACAAGTGACATCGAGATTGTGATATTATTCGATAGAATAAAGGTCATGTGTTGCAATTGATTGATTTATAGTCAAATTAGTCATATAAATGTGAGTTATTCAGCGTCTAGTCAATATTACAGAAATATGAATTCTAGTCAATTTGTTCGAATATAAGTTGAATTACTATTTTATACAATCTTGATCTGATAGAGTGTGTATGAGATTTATGCTCATGTGACAACTTGTCACATGGTATGATTTGAGTGACAGATTCGTTCAATGTGTTGAACAAGCCAAGAATGAACCCGAGGGTTTTAACATATTTTGTAACCCCGAGGGTGGAATATCCCTATCCTACATACACACATAATGAAAGAGTCTTTTTCTCTCATATCTTTACCAACATTTTGGGAAAGGGACAGTCGGTCGGCCGTTACCTTCATTCTTTTAATCCGAGGTTTTTATAAAAAAAAAAACGAACTAGATATTCTTAACGATCATACTTTCAGTTTGCTGTCAAATTTCAAACCATTTTTCGGTATATTGCAGGATGAATATATTATTCGCAGATGAAAAAATCCAAAAATGATCTCTTTGTGAGTAAATAGTATGTGTAAGTAAACATCCGCGAAAAGAAATTGTTCCGTCAAATACTTCAAAGAAATCAACAAGGAACGGATTTTTATAATTCAACATATAGTTTTATCATCAAAATCACATATTTGATCATTTTAAGAAATATGTCAATGTATCTTTTTACTGTTTCATCATTTTTTCAAAATGCTGTGACGCTGACATGACGTCACCATAGGCAAAGGAATTCCATTCATAAATTCAAGGCGTGACGTCACACGATCTCCTATTCCAAGTCGCTGTCGCTCTCGATCACCATGATTCGACGACGTTTGGGTGGTGGAACATTTGTCATGATATTTACGGTGATTTGGCAATTTTCAATGTGAGAACCAGCAAACAAGGATTCGATGCGAGTTTCTGATTGTTCCTGTGATACAGGATTGTAAGTGTTAACCGTGTTTTCTTGTTGTGATGACGACGGTTAACACACTGTGACATCAGATGTAGGTCTAGTAACTGTTCAAGTTGATGAAATGGTGGCAGAGGATGGTGTTCGGTTTGATGGAATTAATTCGGAGCTTTTTGTGTTTGACAACATATTGGAAATCATGTACGTCTGTCTGTCATTCAGTGTCCTGTAATTATTCAGCGACTGTGTGTTTTTATTACACTTGACATAAACCTGCAAGGTATCGGGTACATGGTAATCGGTCATTTTTTGTACAAGGGATTTTCGGACGCTGTAAGAGTTGTCTCCCCTGAACACAGATTACTCCGCGCACGTGTTTGCCCATGTAAGATAGAATTTTCTTACATACCTATCTTACATGGGCAAACTCTATCCAATATGGCGGGATATGAGAGAAATGGTATTTCTGGAGATGGTGTCATGACCTATAGTCAAAGGGGCTTTTGTTCCCTCATTGTTGGTATGCGCCGGTCGCCCTAGCGAATAAAAGATAAGAGTTTGACTACAGCTTGTTGTCGTACTTTTCCTATCTCACACGTTAGCTGGAAAACTTGTGATAAAAATACATGTTTGCTTCGATTCCATTTCCGGTTGCGCTTGCGTGTGTGTTCGTAACAGTAAAATCTTTTGACAAATCTTGTCCCATCCTGTACTGTCCCATGTCATCCTGCCATAAACCGAAAAGTTCTGTCTCTGAAATATTAATTTTAGGTCGTTGTTCACATTTATAATGTTATTGATATCAGCATTCTCATTGATCAATAAAAATGTAAATATTAATAACAGCATAATAAATATGATAATGAAATAAAGTTCCATTCTGATCTGTCCTGTCCCGTCCTGATGTAATACTCGACCGGAAATTGTCGCTCTTTCACATGTAAAATATCTTAAAGACAAACGCTTAAAGGCACTGAATATTGTAAAGGTGCTGTCCCACACTGATAGAAAAGTTTTGCTAAGACTTCAAAGAACTGATAGATAAAAAATAGACTATGGTTATTTATCTGCCAGGATTGTATGGATTGGTATATCATTGAAGTAAACTTCATGTTTTTGTCGTTGATAGAGCGTAAAAAACAACAAACTGAGATTCAAGCAACGTTTTAATATCAAAAGATAATAACTTTGTGAAGGACTTCTTGAATTCTGTCGGAAAATGTCACGTCTATGGAATTATGCAATAACTTTTGATTAGTTCATATACCTGTATTTCAGATAAATCTGCGTTCAGGGACGATTTTCGCAACGCCATAGACCAAGCCATATTATATATCGCCATGGCAATTCGTCTATTTAATACAGTTTGTCTTCCGAGGTTACATCAATTATACAGGTGTTTGATGACGCAGGTACACTTCCGGCAAACTATTCCTGAGGATTATGAAGACGTACTGTCTATACGGAAACATCTAAATGGCGGATTCGATTACTTACCTGGAGAATACCACGATCTACTGAAACATCGAACAGGAGTAGCCGGATTCATCGGTAATGAAATGGTAAATGCAATTATTTGTGTTTGTAAAATGAACTTTACATATCACCAACATTCTAGTTGATTTTACATTCAGAAACTCAACATAAGGGCAAAATAACAATACAAATACTCACACGGAGATTCCTCAAAAAGTTTAACATGGTCTTCAGGAAGAGAAAACATCTTCAGCTTTATCAACGACATACGTCATGCTAATCTTGGCGAATCCAAGTAGGTTATGTCACGTCCCGAGAGAGAAAATGATAACAGTAACAGAACCAACAAGCAAAATGACGAGCATCCAACACGAGCTTCACATCATAGAAATAAGATATTTCTCATTGAGATCATCAAGACGACACGCTAACTACCCTATACTTCCCATCAATCTGCATCTTGAATAAATGTGTTATGAGGTTTTTTCCGTTAGTTGACAACATCTTGCGCGAACATCGTGACATTGGGAACAGGATTGTGAATATCGAATCAACACCGACATGTAAACACCATAGGTTAAGAAAGATGCTGTGTAGAAATGGAAAATTCCTGAATTTCTTCAGCATATCTGAAAGTGAAATATAACGACTTTGATCGGCTTTCGTGACATGTTCTGATAAACCCATCAATAAATTCAGCTTCGCATAAAAACAAAAACTGTTAGATCCTTCAATATGCAAGCAGTGTGTACTCAACAAAGATGTTGTCTACCCGAAATTCAATCGTTTTTATGCTTTCGTCTTTCATATATTTCTTTTTTGATTTTGTATCCTTTTTTAAATACACTTCATTACACAGTCGAAACGCGTTATCTCGAAATATAAGGGACAGTTGAAAATGTTTCGACATATCTGTTTTTCGACTCAAACGAAGCGTACAACTAATGTTGACGAAATCAGTTTCCTGAGCGTAGTAGGTCTTCGATAGCACGCAAACAGTGTAGTTTAACATGGTATTTGAAATGACAGCAAATAAACAAATGAATCTATCATACTTTCTCCTTTTATGGTTTATTCATCCAAATAAAAAAGCATGTAATAGCAACTCCAATCAAATATAATTGTACTGGCGTCGGGCCGTTCCGCTAATGTGTACAATAACCTTACAGACCAAGTATATATAATCATATATTTTACGTAATGACATAAAGCGAAATTTAAATCTGCTTTTGATACGTTACACAAAAAGATGTATTAAGCCATATATCATATCAATATGACTTTATTATGAATAAATAACCGTACGAAAAACGCGGCACTAGAAATTTTTTGCCTGTAACGGAAAACCGTGTACAAGCACTAAACTTAATAAAAACTCAGATGTAGACTCCAACAATGAAAAATACTTTCCGCACTTCATTGTCAAAACACGCTCAACAAGTTCGTACTGGTTTGACAGTTTAGTTTTTATTGTTCCAGGAGAAGCACGCAACCAAGCTAAATGTTTTCGCGCTACTTTTTAACGTACAGATAAGTCACTGCTACAGGATGGCGACACTTATTAAGAAGCCAACCTTAAATTAGATAATTAAACTAGTAATAGACCGATACGCACACAGATCACTCTCTATCATTTGTATGTATTGACCGATTTCGTCAGAAGATGTGCCGATGTTTTGACAAAAATAACTTCGCAACAACGAATGATTTTACCGTAGCTTTACAATTGAATGTACTGAAAAATCACTTCGACTCAACTGAAATTTCGACTCCATGAAATTCGGGTCATCCAAACTAAAATTTATGGAAGGGAAAAACTGATTTTAGAGGTTGTTGAAGATTAGTCAAACCTCTTTAGGGTTTTTTAAAATGTACACACTACTGAAATTGTCTCAATCGGTCTTTATAGAAATATGATTTTTCAGCAAATTACTTTTGGTATCAATACACTGACCTACACGAATTTGTTCAGTTGAAAATATTTACGACTATCTAAAAAACAAACAGAAAAGAACAAGAAAACCATAACTTTTATGTAACATCCTTATTAAAACCAAAACATTCACAAGTTTGTTATGACGTCGGTTAAGATATTTTTTATTATAATACATAATGATAATTGTAAAGTATTGAGAGCGATATCTATTCTGGAAATGACATTAATGAAGAAGAGGAAAACATCTCTTCTGACAGAGAGTTACATGACGTCTGAAGAGTATATCTATACAAAATATCAGCGTTTATTTCAAACAAACGGAAAAGCGAAAAAAGAATGTGAATATTAAAAATATACGATGCTCTTAAATTGAAATTGTCCCATGCCTCACACATACTTAAATAATAGGTTCAACACTGTTATATGCATGTCGTCGATAATGACACGATGAACTACACTATATATCATATCTTCCATATTTTTTTTCAATTCTATCGGATCTGAACTTGCTGCCGTCATTTTGTAAAAGAGAAAATCCAATTGCCGTCTTTGTTGTTTATTTTCACTCAATCGGATGGATATCGCGGGTGTATATGAAGTAGCAATATGTCTTTTATATTGAAATACCTGTATGTATTATGATATACGTGCACATATTATTAACAGATAGCCTTCATGTTAGTGTGTGTCATTGATGATGGAGACGGTGTCGTGATGCAGGCTGCTAGAATTCGGGAAGCGTACGCCAGTAAAAGGATATTCTCTCAGATGAAAAGATACGCCTTCAAACTTTGTGGCAAGGGTGTATATAGAAGTGTCATGTGTACAACAAAACCAGCATACTTGCAACTCTTACAACAGAAAGGAGCTCGTATCGTATTTCAGAGGGTAAATCTACACATTTATAGTGTAACATGAAAGTCTGACAAAGACTTGAACTTCGTATAGTGCATTATTGATCTTGCCTTGATATATATTTTTACATTCCTTGTTGCCGGTTTTCGGAAGAAAAGTTTCTGTGTTTTAATGTATATTTATATAGCTACGTTGATTCCCCCCATTGAAATAAACATACTATGTGATGAAAATGGTAGGTGATCTTGATTATATGTATATGCCCTTAAATAGATATTAAAATTAGTTCATGAAAAGACCAATTTTGGAGACAAAGCTATTGGCTGAAGGAAATTTGCATTCCTAGACCGGAATGTTTCAATTTTCCAGATTTGTTTTATCGTCGTTCCCATTCAGTATTAGAGGTGTGGAACGGTCATACCATCATAGGATAGAAAAATTCAAAATAGATGTAAGGCCCGGTTCATTTACCTTAAACGAATTGCAAGGTATGTAAAAATAATGTGTGTATAGCTAAGGAATTTGATTCATAACTTCAAAATAACTAGTTCTCTTTTCAGAATGTGGCTATTTTCAAAACCATGAAGCCAGCTCTAAAACAGACAGGAGCACTATTTCATGACCCATTGGCTGACATGAGAGTGATGACACCAAACATCTTAGAAAGAATCTTCATATCGGAAGAGGCTAAAGAGAGATTATTTCCAGAAAACAGAATTGTCATTGAATGCGTTCCGTATCAGCTGGTAATATCAAATATACGTCAAATATTTAACTCCAAGGGGAAACTGCTCGCTAGTACTAGCGGCGATATAGATACAGATCTAAATTCTTCAAACATACCGAAGTTGATATCAGCCACAACCAGTACACCATGTGAGGCAGGGACAGTTGTATATCTTGATTTTTTTGGCGAAATAAATGACAGAGCTCTTGTCTCTGCTCATATATTAGAACAGCTTACATGTTTACAAGACACATGTAATAGCAATGTTTTCATGTACGTCACATATGGGTTGGAACAGCCCATAGGCGCCGTTTATCAAGTCTTATCTAGATATTCATGGACAATGATCAATTCTGAAATTATCTCGGGCATTGAAGAAACAATTTAACACTTTCTATACAGTAGAATGACATGGTGCTTAAACCATGCATTATACTCGTTCAAAAAAACATGTTTATATATATATACCGGAGTTTTATTCTTCGATATAACAAGCATTTAACACAGTAAATCCATGAGGTCAAGAGTGATAAAATGCAGTGTCAAACACCATCAACAAGGGACTTTGGTAAGTCCACCTTTACAAACGTTCTTCAAATGTCGATCAAGTTCCAACATGGACGTAATATACCAATAATAATTTGCACTCCGTGAAACCTATCATCGGTGAATTGTCTCCATGCTATAGACACAACCACCGAGACGAAATTGTCCTTGCCCGTCTTTGGATGGGCAAAACAGAACTTACACCTTCCTTTATACCCAATACCACCACACAGAAATGCACCAAAGTTAACTTTCAACATAAACCATTTACTTATCATATAGTTGTAAAGAACCTTACCTCAACCGATAGTTTTCAGTTTAATTAGTGGTCAGTATTATCCAAAATAGTGTGTAAGCACATACTTAGATCTTTCAAGTGCGAGGTTTAAGACTTTATTCAATTATACAGATTGTTGATCTTCATTTCAACGTAACATTACAAAGCGTTACATAAGTCTACGAAAACGCGATGTTACTACAGTTAATAACTCATGAAAAGACTGTATGTGAAGTAGATAGTTACCATCTTCTATGTGTATATATGTAATCGGTCAGATCTGTTGATAGTGTTCACTGCACCGTAAAGGAAGGTGTGATATATGACCAAGGTAACGTGATCACCACAGGTGATACCGGAACAGGTAAACAGAACGGTGAACCATCCACAAGTAAGTGCAGTCGTATACAGAAATGCATGTTTCCACTATAATCCCATGTAAATGGGGTATGTCGAGAGGAAAATATTTAAACATTGTTTTGCTAATTATAGAGGAACAATCTTCAGATAAATGATAAAACGGACTGTTAAGAATGTGATGAAAATAATATTAGTCCCTTGACTTTATGACCGCCGATTTTCACAAAACGGATAAAAAGTAATGAATTATTTTAAGAAAATTTCGATAATAAATAGCGAATGAACGACATATTCAATATTGAAATCCACTTGATATGAAAGACTCGTAGATCGTATTCACAAAGACATTCATATATAACTTAATAAACAATATCGTTGATGACGTAAAAGAAAATAAGCTTATCCTAATTTGACTTGTTACAGAACGGGACGTTAAAGTCGTGCTGTGTATAGTGCGGGGATTTTATTATCAGGCTTATACAGGGACGTGTTGAAATTACAGACAAGTTTACTTAAAGTTGACAAAAGTCCTAAAAGCAAAAGAGATTGGCTAATTGTTAGTTATTATTTAACAAGTTTGAAGGAAATATTTATCTGAAGATTGTTTCTCTATAATTAGCAAAAATTAATTACACTATAAAACAACAATGATAATACATACACATGTAAATAATATGTTATTTCTCTCGAGAAGGCGTCTTTGGATTCTTCGACGAGGTACTAATGATCATTTAATTAGACTTGAAACAAGGCATAATGAAAGACCTGCACGATATAGGTATTAGATGTAATCTACCAAATATAGTTTCAAATTTTCTATCAAGTAGCGTACTTCAAGTATGGGATGGAACAACCCTTTCCGATGTCCCTACCCCATATTATACTTTTATATAGCAATGTTGGACACCGAGAGATAAACATTCGCATGATGTATGTAGTTTCCTTTGCAGGTGATAACGCAATTTAACATATGTAGCAATGCCGGACATCAACATATAAGCTCATTGTGCCAGAATTGTTCCTGGAGTGATGTCCCCACTTATGTGAACATACTTTCTGTGTAATATCTTTGAAGCAGTAGATACATCCACCCAAAAACCATAGACAGCTATGTTTTCGTATCACGAGATTTGTGATGTAAGAATTGATCATTAGGTGCGGCATACGTCTGGAGACTTAAATTTTTGGTCATTGTTTTTGTGTGCGAGAAGTCAAAACGATCTGATGATTATCTATTTGAAATATATACATCTTAATTATCGTAACCATGGCCACGCAACCAGTTCATCAAACGCATCGCTTCTAAAAAATATCAGACAGATCTATAGGGATTTGGCCGTATATATGCTCAATGTAGATATCGTCGAAGAATCCAAAGACGCCTTCTCGAGAGAAATAACATATTATTTACATGTATATGTATTATCATTGTTGTTTTATAATATAATTAAACAGCCTTATTGTGTACCGCCTGAATGCTTTTTGATAGCAAAATATATCTGTCATGTATTGAAAGATATGTGCATTTTGTAAGACAACCATGTAATTCAATATTTTAAATATCACCATGAAAGTCACCTTCAAAATAACCGCCTCATGACTGAGCGACCTAGTAATGGCTGAATGCGTATGAAATACAGCACTTGCTATAACAATTCATATCTTTTAGAACTACATGTATCTTGTAAACAAATGTTGTTTAGCTTGATTTAGAAATACATTGTTCGGGGGCAATTATTTAGCAAAACTTAGGGAAATGTCCCACGTATTACACATTGTCACATATAATTGAGCGTCATTCGATATGTTTTCCTAACATGTAACAGCAATCTATATGTAGTATACAGACCTTATCTTTTCTAGTCTGACTACGTTCTAACCCACATACGGTTTGTATATGTTAACGTGTGAAATGTATAAATGTATATTGATAAGTCAAGCATAGAATTCATGTAATTCCGATGTTTAAACAAATATCTGATCAGCGTATCATAAAGTAGCAACACGTAATGATTATTTTTCACTTAATATCCACAGTTTATGGTTTTAGAACTGTGAAATGAAGTCGTGAGAAAAACCTTAAATTGGTCGTTCATTCTTATAGCCTTATATTTGTTAGCTACAAAGCAAAGCCTTATAACAAAATAAAGTTAAGAGATGTCTGTATTCAATTAATATTACAAAACAGTTTTTACTAAATGATTTCCCCGAAAGGTAAAGATTGCTAACAACAATGAGATGACTGTCAGAGATAGCGGTGTACCAATCGCACAATGTTATGGACGTGTGGACGATAGAAACGAACTTTGTTCGATAGCCATCGTGGTTTATATACATTTTAGGATTCTTTATCAATAACCTCAGTTTCAAGAAAGAAATCGTTTTCACAAACGGTGCTGATTTCAATTACAACTTTTAAAAATCATATCCTTTCCTTGCCACAATGCCATTTGAGGTATTTGGTTATGGTGACTTTATGCAAATTCTCAAAGACTCTGGAAATATGTGTCAACCAAGCATAGCCAATTCATCCAAGATAACAGTATTACGGTTTGAAAATTAAACCGTTAAATCGTGCTGGTTTACTGGATATCACTGACTTAGATTATTATTATTCTCTTTATTTCCTCCAATTTCGAAGATTTACATAAACAGAATAATACGTATATGTAACATAAGTTAGATAGGAGCGGGACACAATAACCACAATGTTTAATAGAATACAATTGTAAAAATCATAATAGTGAAATAATAGCACAGAATTGTTACAATTTGTTTCCTCGCGACATTGTATAGAGTGTTATACAACAAGATATCACTGCTGACGTAACATACACATGAAGTTATTTCCCTTTTATCAATAGTTTTGGGGAGTAAATGTAGAAGTGATAATAAAGGATCAATACATTGTGTCATAGTAAGACAATGTAATATAAGTTTTACTGCGTTGGTTATCATGATACTGAACTAACAACACAAAATTGGTAAAATTATCTTACGACGTTATATGGAGTGTTACACGACAAAGTATCACTGACGTATCATAAATTTACTTCCCTTTGGAAAAAAAGTTCATTTAGATAATTATTTTCTATACAAATGAGTGTACGTAATAATCGTGACACAATATATGTCATCGATACCTGTTTTATCTTACAGTCTCTTGTCATTCATTAATGAATGAATCACTATTTGTAATAATTTTTACACATTTTGTGTACGGATGTTACTGCTGTCTTATAAAAATCATCTATATCAGATGGATCAAGTTCGAATGAAATATCTCCACACATAAGAATACGAAAAAGCTTGTAATCTGACATTGAATGTAAATGTACACTAAACATTATATCTTTGATATTAATTGTATCACTACATAATTTGTCTCTTAATTCCCCTGTATGTTCACATTGTAAGATTATATGTATAGCGGCATCGTTATACATTAAACCACACTTGTGACACAACTTCTTCTCGTCTTCACAATCTCTCATAGTAACAATTGATTTCATAACATAATATTGGTTCTCTTATAGCGGGATATCTAATAGCCAGTTTTCAAAATACATAGGTACTACTGTGGACAAGAGAAAATCTCGAAAAATCACTATCGGCTGGTATTCTTTCCCGCCACGTCGATTCTTCAACTGAACGGACAGCATTTCTAACAATGAGACTCCACATACTTTTAGGCGGAAAAGTGCACCTATCTAAAGACTGGGTTAAAATGTCATACAACATATATTTTCTCAATATTCTGATTATTTCAAAACCGAAGTTATGTTTTTCTACACTAAACTTATATTCCATATCAGCATTAAAGAATCTTGTAAAAAAATATTCGGGATGATATTGTTTTCATTTCTAGTCTACATATCCGTCCCAAAAATAATAGTTTTTAGCGTCTATATACGCTTCAATGCTGGTCCATCCAAGAAGGCTTGTGCACATGTCTATACAGGTTTTAGTTTCAAAACCCTGAATCGCTTTAAGAATAAAATGCTGAGCTCATTCTAACATTAAGATTTCCGTTTTTGTCAAACACCATAATTCACAACCGTAAAGCGCCGAAGCATATACTTTACATTTTATAATTTTACTTATGGTCAAGGGATTTAAAGCGCTTGGATGAGCTCCACATCTTACTATACTCATTGTGCCACTCCGTAATTTATTACATGCACGCAAGGTGCGTTCAATACCATTAAATCTACTATTTAACATTACACCAACATGAACAATTTCGTCAACATTTATATAAATACATGGTCTTACTTTTTTCTGTACTAGGAAAAACAGAGAACGTAACAATTTTACTTTTAACAGAATAAAATACAAATCTCCTTTTTCTACTGTATTCCTCACAAATCTGAAGCATATACTGTAAATCAGAATATTTTGTACTAATAATACATATGTCATCTGCTTGTGTCGGGACATTCAACTTTAAATCCGCTACAATTGCGCCTTTGCCACAATTTTCAATGCTATTCAATAAACCATATATATTTTTGCTGAGAGCGCACTTCCCTGTAAAATACCACGCTCCATAGTTACCGATCTCGACAACAAACTATTCAATAAGATACAACTCCAGTATACATACTTTTCATAATACTCCATGACTTTGACTTTATTCCTAGTTCATGTAGTTTATACAGTAGCCCAGTGTGCCATACAGTATCGAAAGCTTTATTGCTGTCAAGGAACCCAA